ACTTTAAACTATTATTATTATTACAGTATTTATTAAAAAAAATATTTTCACATAAAAATGATTATCACAACTCTGGTAAGTTATCACATAGGCTTACCAGTTAGTATCTTATGTTTTGTGTGCAGAAGCCTCTGTGAACATCTGCCCTAGTAAGGTAACTATTATATACTATTATTGTATTATATACTTTAGCAGCCTGGGTAGAATCTGTAGCTTTAGCAGGTCAGTGAACTAGTGAGCCAGATCCAAACACTGTCAGCAATCTTTACATCTTGACATGGTCACATAAAAATGATTTATTCAGCTAATACCCTATATTTCTGTTTATTTGAATGTCTACAGTCTCAGATCAACTCCAGCAGTATCAGCAGCAGCAGTAACAACATCAACAGCAAAGGCAGCAAACTCACTTAAGGACTTAAGTAAGAATTTACCATAACAGGCATCACATTAATTTTAAAAATCTTGTAAAGTATTAATTGCTGTTTCTGTTTGCTTTGTTTTTTATTTTCATTGTATAAAATGTAACTCTTGTATTTTTGTGAATCAGTTTTTGCCATGAAAATAGCCACAGATGCTGATATGCCATTAAATAAAACTATACTGTACTGCACGAAACATGGGCCAGGTTGATTTTGTCCTACACAGTTCACTATAACAGCTGTTCTTTATTATTCTGTATAACAGAGAAGAAAAAGCCATCAGGTTGGAACAACTTAAGATGCTTCAGTTTCTAATCCCAGAGTTATATATAGAGCACATCAATTATTTTTTTTTAATTTTAAACTTTAAATTTGTCTTTTCTGTTCTGGTTCTTTTTCAAAACTGCATCAATGCATTTGCTGCTGTATCGATGCAGAATCATCTGTATTGATATATTACTGTATTGATATTTTGAGCACAGCCCTATAAAGCCTTGTTTCCATGTGCCCCATTTTATACTTTGAGCACCTGCCCCTACAGAGGTCTCTGCACGGCCCTGCAGAGATCCCCTGCATCAAGGCCATCAGTCCGAGTGAAGGTTGGACCTCAGGTGGAGCCTCAGTGATTATTATTGGAGATCAGTTCTTCGATGGTCTACAGGTGGTTTTCGGAACAACGCTGGTCTGGAGCGAGGTGAGGAACAGTCTCAAGCTGTTGTCAATCAAAAAATTATTATAAATACATTTTATTGTGTGTTTCATCTTTAGCCTCATCATTCCAGTTGTTCATTTTTTCCCCCTTGGTCATTTAATCCATTCATCCGCCACCACAGATCTCCCACAAATCTTTGCAAACTTTGCAATGTGTGAAATACATTTTTCCCGATTAATTTGATGGAGAAGTGAAGTTAATCAGAACTGCTATACTTCCTGATGACTTTTTCTGTTTTGTGACAGGTCATCACACCACATGCGATTCGTGTGCAGACTCCACCTCGTCACATCCCTGGTGTTGTGGAAGTTACACTGTCCTACAGATCCAAACGGATCTGCAGGGGACCTCCAGGACGTTTTGTTTACACTGGTGAGAATAATGAGTTTGCGAGGATAAAAAAATGCAAATGCATTTGAGTTTAACTGAGAAACTTGTTCCTCTGTTGAAGCTTTAAATGAGCCAACCATTGACTACGGGTTCCAGCGGCTGCAGAAGGTCATTTCTCATTATCCTGGTGATGTGGAAAGACTTCCAAAAGTAAGCCAGAAATACTAAGTGGACTTCCCATTTCTCAATTTACATTTTATTTCTTCACAAATTCTGTTGTTTAAACTGTTCTAGGTTCTGCTTTAAGTGTTTAATTAAAATTGAAAGAGAGTTTCCCTCAAGCTGTCCCAAAACTTGTTTTTTTTTTTTCTAAGCATGTTGGCAACAGTTGTTTGACCCCATTGAGTAGGTTTAAAAAAAAAAATACTAGGATTGTCAATGAGGTCCGAGATTTGTTTCAAAGATTTATTCAAATATCTTCCTTTGTGTTTAGCAGAACAAAGAAATGTATACAGGTTTGGGACAACTTGAGGGTGAGTAAATGAGGACAGAATCAGAATTTTCATTTTTGGGTGAACTATCCCTTTAAGTCTGATCACCAACTGATATTTCAACGCATTCTCACCCCAAGGCGTCACCTTTGACCATGCTTCAATATTTGACGTTTTAGGCGCCCTTTAGCGTCACTTACATGACGCGATCCTACGGCGTCATCTAACTGACGCTAAAGGAAAGCGTCAGTTAGAGGACGCGGTTAGGTTTAGGTGTGGGGTGGGGGTAGGGTACACGCGATCCTACGGCGTCATCTAACTGACGCTAAAGGGCGCCTAAAGCGTCAGATATTGAAGCATGTCCAAATGCTTCCCAAGGCGTCAGTTAAGTGACGCCTTGGGGGTGAGAATGGGCTGGATATTTCCAAATGAAGAAATTATTCTGTGCTCACCGTTATATTTGACTCTTGGAAATACACAAATAGCTGTATTTATTTTGTTTTATTTTATTTTTGATTGACAGGAGGTCTTACTGAAGAGAGCAGCTGATCTCATTGAGACATTTTGTGGAATGCCTCATAACAACCAGGTGAACAGCATTTTTGCTATCAACATTTACATTTTTTTTTTTTTACTCTGGCTTGCTGCCCAAGACAATTTCGATTAGTAATAAGAAAAAAATATTGTCAGAGAGTGCATCAAAATACTTTGGGTGCATATTAAAAACATATTTTTAATATCTGCTTTTGTAGCCCTGCAAAGGCTTTTTAAAAACTAAAATCTATGCTGCTGAGAGGGAAGTGTTGTTATTTCTGTACTTCTTATGTGCATGACAATAGGAGATGATTCTGAAGCGTGCATCCGACATAGCAGAGGCACTCCATGGGAGCCCACGAAACCCATCCCATACAAATTCACACAGGATAATGGGTGTAAACTCTTTTAATGGACAGTTAACTGCGAACACAGAGGTTTCACAGGATGTAGAACGAGGTATGCAGTATGTGTGCATGTGAGTATGGTACATATGCCACACAACAGTGTTTTAATAAATGAATGTCTCTTTCAGTGGGATTCAGTCGGAGTTCAAACACTGGCTTTGTCAGCACATCCCAACAGCCTGATTTCACTAATATCAACACATGCACACACGCACATTCGCACCTTCACTCCAACATGCCAAGGCACTCACACTCAAACGCACACTCATCCATGGCCGGGCACACACAAACACACGGACGCCAAACTTCCTCTGTGCCAAACTTCTCCATCGCTGCCACACAAGCATTTATAGATAGTCCCATAGAGGACACACAACACTACATCGGTAAGAACATGTTTTTCTCTTCTATCAACTGTCGAACCCCAAACCCCAAACGTTCATAATGTATCTCAACAAATTTTGCTTTTTGAATTTTGTTTACTTCTGCTTTTCATGACATTATTAAACTGAATCATGGTCAAATCGCATATGTAATGATCATAAGCAATTATTTACCCTCCTGAAGACACAAATATCTATTTTGGTGGTTTCAGATGTTTATTTAATCCTTCCTTGTCTTATTTCTCTTTCTTGTGGTGCTATAGTGAAGCAAAAAAGTGCATTTGCTCCAGTTCTGAAGATGCAGTCTTCAACAGCAAATTCAAGTCTTCCCATTTGCACAGTGAGAGCACAACACACATACAGTATATACACAACTCCTCTCTCCTGCTCTTCTCATCCACCTCTACATTGTCCTTTTATTTACTGCATTGTCTCTTTATTTACTTTATTTACTTTTACCTTAGGGAGTGCAAAGTGTGAAGTGCATACACACATATAAATTTGTGGAGTGTGAACATTTGACAGATTTATGTCTATTTTCTGTTTGTCTTTTACAGCCTTGCATGGACTAGTGACACCAGTCGTTCTCTCACATGGGCAAACTCAGAAGGGAAGGAGTTTGCTCAGACTCCAAAATCTCAAGACTCTTTGTGGTATAGCAATATCTATTTTGAATTTTGAACGTTTTCTCTGTTCAAGCAATAAACTATATGTTAAATCATGTTGGTTGGTGATAAAGAAAATGTTTTATTCCTGTGATTTTACTCCAGTCTTCATATCAGTGTCACATGAATCCTTCAGTAATCATTCTAAAATGCTGATTTGGTGCTCAAAACATTTATTTTTATCTGTGTTGAAAATTATTGTGCTGCTTAATATTTTTGTGTAGCAAGTGGTGTGTTTTACTGTCACATTTTGTAAATTTGTTGTCCTTGTTGGAAAAAAAAGTGTGTCCACAACCTTTGAACGGTAGTGTTTGAGGAATTTAGTGTTCCATCATTCTGTACCAATAAATAAGACATTTATATTTACACTTAAACCTAGATTTTACAAGAACATTTTGTCTTCATAAACTATTTTAAGGGGGGAGTAAATGGTCAAAACACTGGAAATAGAAACACTGGACTAACTGATAACAATGACAATAGTTCTTTTCTAATGAAGATTCATTGAAGCCCAGATTCCACATGGCCCCTCTCTCGACAAATCTATTCTTCATGTCTCATTAAATTATTATATTTGTTTTTGTTATGGGAGGCAGCTCTACTTGTTTTCTGTAACATACTTCACTGAATTCTCAGATAAGCCCTCCATCAACCATCAAGTTTTACTGTGAGGAGGAGGCATCAGAAATAAAAACAAATGCTGAATATGGAGTTTGTCTCTCATAAATCTGAGTGTGTCCTCCCTGTGAGTTAGAGAGGAGACTGCACACTCATAAACACCAAAGAACACAATTGTGTAATAACTGTGTCGAGGATATTCAAAACCCTTCACAACGTCAATTGTTCACATTACACACGTTTGTCTTGTCCTTTATGAAATTATGTGCAAAATGAGATGAAATGTATAAAATAGTATTTATTTGAAATAAAACGAGTTGATGTATGATTCAAGATTCTTTGCCTTTTTTCTCTTGGCGGTCTGCATCTTGTCCAATCACAGAACTGGGCACAAACATGCTGTGCTGTGATTGGTCAGTTCTCCTGAATCGCTTATTACATTTTCTAAGCAGCAGGAAGTGAAATTTTTTCAGTCATGTTCCCGCATGTTCCAGAGATAACAAAAACTGTCGTCTGTACTCTTCATGGTAATATAAATATTATTTTACTGCTCACAACTGGAATAAAATAATGTCGTGTTGCATTAACTGCCGGTGATATTAACCATTTTATCTGTGCGCAAAAAAGTATTTTGTGTGCACATGATGGGGGATTATGATGATGTGTGAGTCTGTGACCATGACGACTGTGTCAGAGCCGTTGAAAACAGGACTGTGTGACTTTAGTATGTGTTTGACAACAGATTGCTGGCTGTTTGCAGTTTGCGATGACTGGCAGCGGTCAATGTGTGCTGAGTGATGTGACTCTCTGCTCGCCAGTGGGGGAAATCCTGCTGAGCGGCTGTGAGAAGGGAGTTCACACCATTGACATCAAACTGGGAACAGATAAGGAGGAGAGGTAAATTTCACAAACATGCACACAAATTGAGTCAGCAGCACCCAATTACAATATGTAAACCACCCTTAAAGTGCAGTTATGGGAAGGGAGCAATGAAGCTATTCGAAATAGAAACTGCATCAAATTAAGCAATGTATAAGATGTACATTTCTGTTTTTAAACCCCTGCCTTGCCATACACTTCTTAAATTCCCTTTGTGCTGTTTTTTTTAAAACTGAAAAATAACTGATTTTTGGGTCAACATTCTGTGGTGATTTATTGCTTGCCATAGGTGTATCGATTGATGAAGTATTATACCAATAACCTTGGGGATGTGGTTTGTGAATTAAATATGCCTGGTTTTAATTGTTAAAGATGTTCACATAAGCACTAAAAGCTTAAAGTCACAAGTGATGTCAAAATTAACAGTTATTATTTTTTTATAGATTTTTTTCTGTATTTAAAGGTGGCATTAGCCCTTTTCACAAGATGTAAAATAAGTCTCTGATGACTTTAAAGTGTATCCTGTTGTAGCGTGCGCCCTGTTTGCCAGTCAGAAATGAGCCCTGTGTTACAGTGCTGTGTTGACTGGCTTCAGTGCTACTTCATGAAACCCGAGTCCATCAGCACTCTTCCTCTGCCTCCCATACACCATCCACAAATGCAGAGAGGTTAGTCACATACACGTCACCTCTGACCTATTTATGCTGGTTTCACAGACAAAGCTTAAGCCTAGTCCCAGACTGAAATGCATGTTTGAGCTGTTTTAACTGAAAGCAACTTGCCTTTGGTTTTCCTCGCACAGCACATTTATAAAAGCTACTTAATTGTCCTAATTGAACTAAGGTCTAATCATGGCTTAATCTAAGCCCTGTCTGTGAAACCAGACCTTAACCAGGGCTGCGTTTCTCAAAAACATCCATCGTAGAACCATCGCCACTATGATCAGGTCTCTATGATCAACTTGACTCTTGACTCAGCCCTGGACTTTAGCTGCCACTGTTTTTCACTGCTTTCCTCCCTGTCTCTATTTCGCAGATTCTTTTCAAGCACATGTGCTGTGGACTCTGTTGAAGGAAGTGGGGCTTGGGGAAACGGTCTCGTACAAGCAGCTTGCTGAAATGATTGGGAATCCAAATGCTGTGCGAGCCGTGGGCTCAGCCATGAAGAAAAACCCTGTGAGTTTTGTTGGAATGATCATCATGAGAGATTGATTTATCTCATCTGATGCATCTTTTTCTCTGTTGTTCTCTCAGATTCCACTGATAGTGCCTTGCCACCGGGTGCTGCGCAGTTCAGGGGACAGTGGATCATACATGGGAGGAAAGGGGGATGATATTAAAGTTTGGTTGCTCACTCATGAGAAAAAAGCATTGGAGCTCAATGCTTTACAGAGTGAATAATCCATCGGATGGACCCCAAAATTTTCATGCTGCTTCTCAAGTTTGTTCACAATCTTTTTTTTTTAGGAAGTCTGTTTGTTTGGACAAATTATATACCAATTGAGAGAACAAACTCTTTGATATAATCCATATATTGTCCATAGTTTTAGAGGAATCTGTTTTGAGTTGTGTTTTTGAGAGCAGATGGTTTGATTAGTTGTTATGGTTGTCAGTGTTATTGACATTGTTAAATGTGATGTTTAATCCAAAGGATTACAGAAAGTTATTTTTAAAGAAATTGCCAAATCTTTTTTTATTATTATTGTTGCATATTTGTTTTATTCCTGAAATTCATACATTCTTGCTGCAAGTTATCCATATATAAGTTATGCTAACTAGAGTTTTATTGGAAATAAACAGCTCTGTAAAGCAAATATAGATGTTTATTAATGGTGGATCAATTATCTACACTACTGGTGGCCAAAAGCTAAAAACTAAATTAATATTTTTTAATGTTTTTGAAAAAAGTATTTTATGGTAACCAAGACTACTTTTATTTTATCAAAAAAAAAAAAAAAACAGTAATATTGTGAAATATTATTAGAGTTTAAAAAAAAACTGTTTATTTGAATATAATTAAAAATGTAATTTATTCCTGTGATGGCAAAATCTATTTTGTCAAACTGATAAATGTACCAGACATTTGTATTTTTTTTATTATCAGTGGTGAGTTTTATTTTGTGTTCCTTCATAATGTGTTATTATGAAAAATCTATTATTTTGTCAAGAACAAATATCAATGATTTCCTCTACCAACTTTTGAATGTTCTTTTTAAAAATTCTTTTACATATTTAATTTCAGTCCACAACTTTTAAAATACATACTGCAAATGGTTGAGGGTCACCGTTTAGCTTGCCATATAAAACTTCACATATTTCAAAAGAGTTCTTAATTCCTCTGGATGTCAAACACACAGTTGTGACCTTTTTAATGGGAGGATGTTAAAAGAAGCGCGTCCCTGGTGAGATATCCACAGTCAGTAATGTTACTGCATTATATTGTGTTTGATCATATGTGACATGTGCTGCATCCACTGCCTCAAGCTGTGCTGATCTCTCACTAAGTCTTCACGTAAGGCACCATGCCACCTTACAGAACAGCAATTTGTGCCTGACAGAAAAACAGTTGGATCATGCTCAGTGAACACAAACCCTCCCTGCAATTTCAAATCATTCAGTGAAGTGTGGGAGCTGTTATCATAACTCTTGACTCTGTTTGAGAGGTGTGTCTTAATCTATATCGGTATTAATTTCCTGTGGCATTTTCCATGAGGAGTCTGAAACTCATTTTCTTGTTTTCAGTGCATGATCATAAAAAAAGTGCTGTTTTATTTTCTATTCATTATAGTTTACTCTAATCATTAGTTTTTTTGTTTTGTTTTCCAGAATTGTTTTGTTTGTGTTGTTAAAACCCAGTCTAATTTTGATGCTAAATTTGGGGAAATTAAGTGATTTAATTGCAGAAAAAAATGTTTACCTTTTTTGATGGTATAATAACATTTAGACCAAACTTATGGGATATGGATCTCATGGAAAATGCATGAAACTTATAGAAACATGGTGTAAAAAGAAGCGATGTTGGGTGATGCTTTTTTGATGGAAAGCTAATCTGCTGAGGATAAGACCACATACTAACAAATGAGTTAAAACTGTTAAATCCATGTTAGGTATAAGATTTTACATTTAGATTTAACACTATATTACCACCATACACTTGAACAAGGGAAACCATAGGGGAGTATCCGTGTAATTAGTCTACTGTAAGTCATTTGTCAGGGTAAGACGTGATCAAACTGGATTAATGGTTCAGAATGAGAATAAACTCTGATTAAGTCTATAAAGATTCTCTTTTGATTGACAGAATAATATGATTTACAATATGATCCCTGTGCTGCATTAGTCCCATGCTGGAGTTTTAATCTTCAAAGCATTTAATGTGTCAGGACATCATTTGTATGGGTTACTTAGAGAAATGCTTCAGACTTTATTTATTTTTTAAAATCTTTATGAGCAGCTTTTTGCTCAACCTCAACTATAACCCTCACATTTGACACCTGATTCTCAGAGATTTTCAGATTTTCAGTTTGTTTCTGTCAAATGTGAATGTATAATGCTGTGTAACAAAAGAGAGGTTTGCTGAAATGAGATCCATACATTTTGCTGAGATGCGCATCATTTCTAAAAATGTGCAAAAAAAAATATATATATATATATATCGAATGAGCTCATTTGGTGGATAATGTTTTTTATCTAATAAGTTATGCGCATAAACTATGATAGAAACATATTTAGGCCTATAGTTGTACCTCATAAATCTTTCATTGCGCCACAAAAAACTAATGTGATCTTGTCTTAAGAGGCATCATTGGCATCATTTGGTTGTTTGAATAATTAGTGTTACTCTTGCTTGCTTCAGCTCTCACGTTTAGCCTAATGTCTAATAATAAATGAGCGAGGGTTGATTTTGAACAAATATGCACCTCTAGTGCTTGACTTTTTATTAAAACCATGAGAAGGATATTTCATCAGGACTTGATAAAACATGTTGTTCCCATGGAAAAACAAAACAAAATTGTATTATCATTGGCTCCAAGGGTTCAACTTCGTCTTTTATGCTTTTACATTCTTCCTCGTCTGTTGGGAAATCTCTGTTTTTTCAGAGGCAAACCTTCAGCATCCTCCTCATTCATCTGTAATCACAATAGATCATCACTGATCAAATACAGTTTCACACTGGGAAATGAAGCTGCTGATGTTTTCCCATAATAAAGAGGAACAGTCATGCTCTTACAATATGTACAGGTGAAAGCTGCTCCATCGGAGTGTCCGCAGGAATAGACAGCAATGTGTCACCAGCATCCATCATCTGACAGAGACAGATTTTTACTCTAGTCACACATCTCAATACTTTTAATATTCTTAGTTTTTGATGTCCACCCTGTGTCACTCCCAGTCTCCCATATACTAATGATAAAAAAGACCAGTTGGATGAACAGAGTTTACATGACAGCTGACAGAAGAGGACAAGAGGATAATCTCACCCTGAATGTTGCCTCCACTTCACCAACACTTCTCTTTCCGCCAGGAAGCCAACCGTATGACCAGTGCTGGCAAAGACTAACCTCCAACACACACACTAGCATTAACAACTGGACCAGCACCCTTCCTTTCCACTCCATGCTAAAACTGAAACAAAGACATTTAATATAGGCAAAATCTACTCTCAGGTAAACATAAAATTTATGAAAATTGTTTAGTTGTTGAAAGCAATATATATATATATATGGTTTTATAAATCTATTTTATTAATCATACTAAAACTGATAAAAAAAATAAGATTTTATTTATAAAACACATTTTAAAATCAACCTATGTTGGCCAAAGTGATGTAAAAGTAATAATAAAAACAAGAGATATGGAAAAAAAAATTATGTTATCTAAACCACATTCATTTGACAAAATATAAATGTCAAAAATCATGAAAATATTTACAGTGATACAGAATTTTAAAGTCTTACCTGCTGTCTTTGTTTGAGATGAAATGTGTTGTTCTTGGTCTCCTTTATACAGTCCTCTTAAAATGAGTTGCAATGCTCTTTCGTCATTGGGAGTCTTGCGACCATGGGGCAGGTGCAGGTTTCTCGCTAATGCACACTCTAATGCACACCTGGGGCTGGATTTCCAAAATTGATAAAGAACTGTCAAGGGGCCCTGGCTAATGGACCTGTTTAAAGTGTAAGATTTATTAAATAATGTGTTTAAATGGTCCAAAGAGACACTCTGATGGCCAGTTCAACACACAGGGGAAAAGATGAGATATAAAGGCCAAAAGAGCTATGGCTCTGTCAGAGACACTTTCTGAATCATCTGACAATCAAGCATTTGCTTGGAATTGTTTTTAAATACATCTATAAATTATGTTCCTAAATAACAAAGTAACTAACTAACCAGCTGTTACATTTGGTAATTGTTTGCTTACAAACCTTTCCTTGTGTATATTTAACTTTGATATAACCAACCAACCAATTAATTCAATTTTATTTAGTATCATTAAAAGATTTGGGTTCAGTTTGAGTTAAAGTTTTTTTGTTATGTTTTTGAAAGAAGGCTGTGCTCATCAAGGCTGCATTTATATGATAAAAATACAATATTTTGAAACATTAGTACTATTAAAAATAACTTTTTTTTTTTTTTTACATTTTGAAAATCAAACGTATTCCTGTGATGGCAAAGCTGAATTTTTAGGATCATTTGCAGTCTTCAGTGTCACATGATCCTTCAGAAATCATTGTAATGATGATTTTCTGCTCAAGAAAAGAACAGAACAGAAATTTCAAAAGAACAGCATTTATTTGTAATAGAAATATTTTGTAACATTATAAATATTTCACTATTACTTTTGATCAATTTAACGCAGCCTTGCTGAATAGAATTATTACTTAATATTTAATTTAGCATTTATTTGTTCAAACTATAAAGTTTGAACCCTAGAGATGGATTTTGATAAATTGTATTTTAGTGTGTGTGTGTGTGTGTGTGTGTGTGTGTGTGTGTGTGTGTGTGTGTGTGTGTGTGTGTGTGTGTGTGTGTGTGTGTGTGTGTGTGTGTGTGTGTGTGTGTGTAAATTATCACTAAAATAAGAGGAAAAAATAAATGAACTAAATGTAAATATAACCACATTTACTTATTACACATTCATATTTTGTTAACCTCAAAAGATCAAATGGCTCAATACGACCTTTATTTTGAACTGAGGACCTGTATCATAAACAACGACACTTCCGGGGCGTGTAAGGAAAATCCCGCGAGCTCAGACTAAAAACAAAGTCAAGATGTCCACATGACTGTCATTCTCACCAGTTTATTTATCAAGTTATAGTATAATTTATCCGCCGTAAATCAACAAGAAGAACTAATAAACTCTCACAGGTAATTTCCAGACTGGTATCTACATTAATGAATATCTTATGCTGCAGAAACCGTAATAATGTATGGCGTCTGCACGTGAACTTAACGTTACATTATCCTCGTTCCAAATCAGTGGCGTGATCTTTTATGCTCGTCTCAGCTTTTAGGGTATAATGAGACATGAACATGGATCTTTTGAGAAGACCTGCCATTCCCGAAGACGCGGTCCAGTATCAGCTGTTTCTGGTTCACCCTGACCCATCAGACGCAGAAGCCAATGAAAAGTCCCTTAAACAGATCTTGCAGAACATCCTCGCTGAGATCGCCCCTCTTCTGGTGCCGTACATCTGGCAACATCAGCCCTTCAATATAAGATACCACCCTGAGAAAGGTAAGAGTAATACACACACACACGTGTGTGTGAGTATAATTTCTGCCATTCTCCTTGTGGTAGTCACGAATGTATACGCTCCACAGAATAATTGCTTATTTTTTATCATTTGTTTGCAATGAAACCTTTATAAACATGTCACTTCCTTTTTTTCTTCATTTTCACTCCATAGGTGATGTGCCTGCACACCTGGGTGGTGTTACTGAGTTTGGTGATAATGTTGAGGATGAATGGTTCATCGTTTACCTGCTAAAAGAGATCACACGCACCTTTAGTGATGTAGCTGTTGTTGTTTATGATAATGATGGACAGTTTATTCTGATTGAAGCAGCTGAACACCTGCCAAAATGGCTGGACCCTGACAGCAGTGAAAATAGGGTTTGTATTGGACATTTTAAATACTAGTAGTCTAGTACCATGATTTTATCATGAGTTTTAGACCATGGTATTCTTTAAAATACAAGCATCATTATGATGCAGCAGTCTGTACGATTTGATGCATTCCTTATAGACAAGGATGAGTTGAACTCGAATAACATCCAATATTGCAAATAACTTGTTTATTAACTGGAAATAAAAATATTACACTGTCAAAAAAGCTACCCAAAATGCTGCAAATGACCATCATTAAGTAATATAGTTTTCAGAAATATAATGTTACACAATTATTTAATTCCAAATCTATATAAATGAATAATTAACTTGTGACCCTTACACATTTAACATTAACATATTAACTTTTAATTCCAGCACTGTCACCAGACCAGAGTTTGCATTAATCAGTGATGGATGGTTATCATTTGCAAGAATAAAAAATTACACAAATCTCTCTTTCTCTTTTAGAGTAAGGCTGTTCTTGTTAACCTTGTGTATATAGTGCATTTATAGTCTGATTGGCTGGCTTATGACTTGTAATGTCTGTAATTGTGTTGCTCAGGTGTTCCTGTACCGGGGAGAGCTGCACATATTACCCAACCGTACACGTTCTGGAGAGGTTGGCTGGCCCAGAGACTCAGTGCCTGCTGTGGGTCAAGCTCTAGAGATGCTGCACTCACACGCTGAGAGCTGTTTAGCCGAACAGCCCATACGCTCCGCTCTGGCCAGGAGGCTGGATGGGTGAGAGTGATATCATTGTTTAAAGTGCCCCTACTATGCGTTTTCATATATGACCTTTCATGGTGTGTGAAATACAGCTGTTGGTGAATGTAAAAGGTCTGCAAAGTTTCAGAGATCTTCAGAGCTTCAGAGATTGTGAGAAAAGAGGTGGTGCTGCAATATATGTTATGAAAAAATTTATGTTTTTTGACCTTGGATGCATGTAATAGCATGAGAGGGGCACTTTTAAATAAGCAATTCAGTTGTTTCTGTTCTAGTGTTTTAAACTTATTTTTGCAAACAGTAAACAGTTGTTTGTGTATGTGTGCAGGTATCCAGATATAATCCAGCAGAATTTCCACCGCACCCACTGTTACGTGCCGGCGGGCATCGCTGTGGTGTTGTCTAGGAGGCCTGACCTTATAGCCCCGGCTGTGTCTGCTTTCTATCTGCGTGACCCTGTTGACCTCCAGGCCTGCCGTACTTTCCGCACGTTTCCTCCTGACACCAGAGTTATGACATCAGTAAGAAGCACTTTTGTTCTGAATTCTGTCACATACACTACCGGTGAAATGTTTGGTGTCCGAATTAAAAAAATAAATAAAAAAATGAATGAATTCTTATATTCAGCAAGGATTTAAAAAATAAATATATTTGCAATAAAAATAATAAAATGTATTATAGTTATTTATTTAATGCTGTTCTTTTGAACTGTATTCATTAAAAGAAATGAAATGAAATCACAGCTTCCACAAAAGTTAAGCAGCACAACTGTTTTCAACATTGACAATGAGAAGAAATGTTTCTTTATCACCAAATTAGCATACTAGAATGATTTCTGAAGGATCATGTGACACTGAAGACTCAGTTTTGCCACAGCTTTGTTATATTTATTGAGAACTCCTCCAGTTACTACAAATCCGTTCCCTTCCCCCTTTCCTGTAGGTGAAGTTTACTCGATGCTTGTACGCACAGCTGCAACAACAGAGTTTTGTTCCAGATCGGCGGAGTGGTTTCACGCTTCCCGCCCGCTCTCATCCCCAGTACAGAGCTCACGAGCTGGGAATGAAACTGGTGAGTGCATGACATGAGTCGTGTACAGAGAAAGCTGACTATTACAGTGAAGATCTCATTTCATAGAGATTGTGTTTTTCTCCAAAGATTTTACCATTGAAATTAATTTTTCAAATGCTCTGAAATACGATTTGCCATGCAATACAATACATTTTGTAACTATAGAGCACATGGTGCTAATGTATTCTACCTTGTGTTCGTACCTAAGGCCCATGGCTTTGAAATCATGTGCTCCAAAAGTGGACATTCTTCATCAGAGCAAGAGTCTTCAGTCAGCAGTAACCCATTATGGAGAGGCTTTTTAGATAGCCTTAAAAAGAATGGCTACTTTAAGGTAGGAAAGAGTTTCTGTGTTGAAAATAATGAGAGATCATTTTATCTGTGTGGATATAGATTTTACTTGTGTGTTTGACTATTTTTGTGAACCCAGAGTGAACTAGAAGGATCAGCTCGATACAAAGACTTACTGACATCAGCAGAAAGTTTCTTCAGGCAGTCGGTAACCAGCACTCATCGGTGAGAGCGGCTTTTTTATTTATAGTTGACTGTCACAGTATAGAGTTAATTTTACTTTCTCTTTGTGGCAAACTAGTTTACATTTCCAAGCATTCCTTTTGCCATTAATTGTAATAATCCAGTGAGATTTTCGCATACACAAGGAGTCTGACAACAGCCGGTATGATCTGATCTCCGCATCATTGAGTCTGTCTGGGTTTACTTTAAGAAACAGAAATAACTGAGACAGACTAAATCCAGAAAAACTGTGGTAACGTCTCAACGATGCTTGAAGAAACTGACCGTCATATGTAGATTTTATTTATGAATTAACTTTGATTAAATATATTAAATCAATGTTTGGTGTGAGTGACCACCCTTAGGTACACTTGCACATTGTTTATCACATAGCTTTGCTGGCTGGTTTATTCAAGCATCTTGGAGATGTTGCTGCTGGTCTTCTGGATTTAGTCTGTATCGTTGTTTTTTGTTTTGTTTTTTTTTCTCACTGGGGTATCTCACTGGATTACTTTGAATTACTTTAAACCATTTTTTTTTTTTTGTGAAAATACTATTACATTTTTTTTTAAAAATAATTTATCGGAAATAATACATTCAATTTATCAAAATTGGCAATTAAGGCAAAAGTCTACCAAAATTGGCATTGAAATTTTTTCTTCATTAAAGAATCTTTTCAATAATAATTCCATTAATATAAGAACATAATATAATAAGTGGCGCAATATTATAAGTATTATTATTTTTTTTTTTTACTGTATTTTGATTAAATAAATGTATCCTTGGTGAACATTAGAAAATCCAAACTCTAAAATAAAAGTGTGTATATATTATTTGAATCTTTCTCAAGGCCTGATATTCATAATCCTGGTGATGAGGTGTTGAAAGTCTTGGAGTGCGCCTCCTTCAATTTGGAAGACCTCAAAAACCAAGAGGCATATCTACCACCAGAGGATAGTATGTACCATTTTTTCTCCTATTTAAAAGAGGATTGTTTCCTCTTTGGCTTGGCATTTCGAGTCTTTTTTCTGCTTTTCCTGAAAGTGAATCTAGCCTGTGAATTGAGCATAAATATTATTTCTGTCTTGTCTTAAAGGAGAACTCCAGCGCAAAATAAACCTTTGGTCTAATAAAACATTGGTACCTAGTCAAGTCTCGACAAGTCGAACCACGAACATGTGTTCATACAGTTCAGAAGTTAGCTGAGCTTTATACAGTTCAGCTCACTTGGCATGTCGTTCGTGGTTCGACTGGTCGAGACTGTTTTCCAAAGATGGCTCCTGTCTGTATACACGAAGTGGTCTGTCTTTATTAAGTATCTTCTTATTAAACTGTCTGTGCACGTACAATGTTCTCAATGCTTCGTTTTGCATGTAGGGATGCTGATTATGTTACTGTGTTAGTGTGGGGCTATTTTGAGCCTTGTTAGTGGTATAAACTAGCGATTTCTTTTTACTTATTATATGCCCTCATATACTAGCGTCATACGCTAAACAGATTTTAGAGATACAACTCTTTACTTTCGATTATCATGAAAACAAATCTCAGTACCGATGTTTTATTAGACCAAAGGTTCATTTTTTGCCGGAGTTCTCCTTTAATCAAGTATCCTCTCAATCTCCCCCTGTAGGTGATGCGTGGTTGGACATCTCACCTCAGGAGCTGGAGAGGCTGCTTGAGGAGAAAGGAAGTCGAAGAATGAGTGATGGCACTCGTAAGACGGCACAGCCTGATGAGGAGGTCCAGGAGGAAGAAGCTGGCTACAGTCTGATAGCTGTAACGCAAGGCATGAAGAACTTCATCAATGCCATGTCTTCTCATGAAGGTGCTGAAATACCCAGGTAATGATACTCCATCTGAATAATTGTCAATACTTCAAGTTCAGTTGTTATTATAGTGCCATGATAATTTGACTTTCTTTTCCTGAAATTGTGTTTCAGGTCTTGCTTGGTTGAGCCCTTCAGTTTTGATCCAGATGCAGTTACCGGTGCTCTTGATAGATTGTTAGGTGTGTTTGACTTTCTGTGATATTTATGAATTAGCGTTCAACCGATATATCATCAATATATATTTATATATCATGTCTTTTTTTTTTCAATTATTGTCCAGTGTATCGGGACCAGGACTTTTATCATGACAGGACTTGTATATATTTGGCCACTTTTTTCACATTTTGAAAAAAAATAGTTTTCCCACACAGATTTACCAGATTACTGAGTGCGCTGTTGGGTACAGTGCTTACTTTTCTTTTTATTCATATTTTTAATTTCTTTATTTGTCAAAAATACTATAATAGGATTACCGAATCAAGAAGTTGCCATCTAAAGTATAAATCTGTTTATTTTCATGTCATTTTCAAGTTATGTATTTCTAATTTATTAAATAGGATGCAATTTGTTTTTAATTTCAGCATGTGATTTTACTCTGATATATATATATATATATATATATATATATATATATATATTAGGGCTGTCAAACGATTAATCGCATCCAAAATAAAAGTTTGTGTTTACAAAATATATGTGGGTGCACTGTGTATAATTATTTTATATATATAAATACACACACATGCTTGTATATATTTAAGAAATATTTTCATGTATATACTGTGTATAGATTTATATATACTTTATATTATATATAAATATAAATATTTTATATATAAATAGTATTTTTTTCTTAAATATACATGCACGTGTATGTATTTATATATATACAAAATAATTATACACTGGATGCGATTAATCGTTTGACAGCCCTAATATATATATATATATATATATATGTGTGTGTATGTATGCATGTATATATATATATATATATATATATATATATATATATCGGTATTATATCAGCCATCAAATTTATCGTTCATATTGTTCAACCACTAATCTTTATATCTTTTATTATATTTTAAATTGAATTTTCTATGCTACAGAAATGCACTTATAATTTGCACTTCCTGTTTTACAGGAACTAAGGATGAGGAGTTAGACTCTGACGACTTTGATGATGATGATGATGATGATGATGATGACGAGGACGACAATGATGTCGATGAGAATGAAGAAGTGCAGAATGGTGGCTTTCAGGAGCAGACAGGTTCAGAGGAGCTGGAGAATCTGAAGAAGTACATGGATGAAATGGACCAGGAACTGCAAAGCACAAATATTGGCCAAAGCTTTACACAGAATAACAGAGTAAGTATCCACACAGGTGTTGTTTACCCTGCGCCCATAACTTTGTAAAAGCTTTTGATTTATTTTTCTGCTTCCTTTATAGGCCAGTAATAAAGGAGATGCATCTAAAAGCTCATCAGCCACCTCGGGCTCAGAGCTTGCTGAGGACGAAATCCAGCCGCTTGATGTGGATCTCAACCTGGTTACAAATTTACTTGAATCTCTAGCTTCTCAGGTGGGTCTAGCTGGGCCTGCGTCTAATCTACTGCAGAGTCTAGGCATCCACATCCCACCTGACGCAGATCAGCCCTGATAAGAAATAGAAGAATCATCTCACAGATTCTTATCACACACTCAGCGTTCCTTCACCTAGTAAACTGCTGATTATCAGCTGATTATATTTGAATTTATTATCTTCCGTTCCACACCTAGTACCTCCAAACATTGATGTTTTCTTCAAAACAGAGCACTTCCATTAAAATTGACTGGGAATTTCTTCCTGCACATAATCTGATAAGTTGTTTATCATGTTGTTCATAATTAAAACATATTTTACTCCCTCTTTTGGAATAAAGAAAATATTTTGAGATGTTTCTAATTACAGTTAGTGTCATTTTGTTGAACCTATAGTTATGCTCTACAACAGAAATATCAGCTACAGCTCAGCTATCTGTCAGAGAAAAGGAAGGGGAATGTTTCCCTGTGCTTTTCTACACTGATAAACCAAACAAATGGCATGCTGGTGTAACATTAACCAAGTCTGTACTGATAAATCAATCATGCCTGATTAGAAGGAAAGCCACACAGCTCCAATGGTGAACTTTTTTAACCTCTTGATTCTCACTTGGAAAGACTTTGGCCTATGCAGGTAACAACACCAACGAGTTCTAGGATTTCTGGTGGTCTAAATTTGTGCATTACGTTCCACTTCCCTCATTTAGAAAAAATGCAGGAAATTTAATACATACAATTTACATACAAAGAAATGACAAGAAAGAAGCTGAAACACTTGGGAATTTAGTTTGTGTATGAGAAAACCTCAATATGTTTTATTTGCTCCATACTTTAACAATAATACTGTAGTCGGCACTGTAAATTAGGAGCTAAACAAATACATGAATCACAGGTTTTCTATTTAAATAATACATATTACTATTGTAATAGTCTTAAATTGTTGATATGCTACTTATGGCTGTGATTTCTACAAACCATGCATTTGAAAGGCTCTGTTGTGAGTAAGGTTACTGTAGAATAATATACTTAGGTGAATCTCACAAAGCTTGTCAAGAACATGCTTAGATCATTTTTCACCTTCTATATATATTGCATTAAAAAATGAGGCTTATTTTTAAGGCCCAAGTCAAGCAAATTCTCCATTCCCATTACTGTAAAGAATTCAGATGCTAGTTTGTCATTTTCATTACTAATACAGTAAAGAAAATCTTCCTGTCTAACTTTAAAAAAAATAAAAGCACAAAATAAAGGCATAAATTAATACCAACACAACAATAACTTAATTTTTGCATTGAGGTATTGGGAATGATTTTTTTTTTTCTCTCTGTGAAAAGTGGAATTGTGGTGAAACCATCATCAAAATTACAACACACTAACCCCTAAAGGTCCTACTTTTCTTTATGCAAAATATAATTAGTTATTTTCATTCTCAGAGCTTCCAGCTGACAAATAGAAAATAATGGGTAATTCTAACTAGGAATAATATAGTCTGTACAAAAAAAGCTGGTTTGAGATGTCTGAGAAACCTGGATTTTGTCTTTACAATAGAATTCCAGAACGTATTAGTTCCTTCATGAAAACACCTAAGTCGTAGTTTCAGTGAAAGCAAAGAAAGAAGTCGCACGTCAGTGCGTGCTGGTAGTGTAACCATATAAAATAATTAATTCAAATTATCTTTACACAAGGTTTTCACACCTATAAATTCAGTTTTAATACTGTTATCATCAATCATGTATTTGATTGGCTATTCTACATAGACTTTTGCTCGTCAGAATGATCTACGCTTTGATCGGTCCGTATGTCCTATAGCAAACTGAACAAGGGCTGTACAAGCCCTCTGGTCGCATGCAGCACGGCTGCTGGGAGAGCAGATAAATACAGCGCTGTTACATCCACAAAAAGAAGCTGCACAGCACCCAGCAGCAACATCCCGAGCATGTATCCCAGAAACAGCAGACTGTGCCAGTTGCCATAAATCAGTGCCTTTGGGCCGTCAGGGTGCAAAACACACAGGAACCCTAATAAGAGGGTACGTGACACTGTCAGATTGTAGTAAAGGTCAAAGGTTGAGGCATGGCTTCGCTCCGTTTGGGATACTTTAGCCAGCCAGGCAAGAGACAAGCTGTGAAGGACCAGGCTGAGAGGAGAGTAGACGTACTCCAGCGGTTCCATCACATGCAGTCCTTCACAGGCTGGAAAGAGAAAAATGCGATTAAAAATCAGAATTACTGTTCTAACAATCGCAAAGACCCATTTCTCAATCCTTGCATCAAAACTCTTCACACAGTGAGCACAACAGCAATCTATGTGGGCTAAACTGCGGATCATTTACAGTCATGGCCAGTATTGGCAGTGGCATAAATTTTGTTTTTCGCAAAGTTTGCTGCTTTAGTATTTGTAGATTATTTTTTAGTCTTATGTTTCTATGGTATACCCCGAAAACAATAAAACTTATAAATTGCTTAAAGGCTTTTATTGGCCAAAAAACAAAACAAAAAAACATTTAGTGTATACTCAGTCAGTATTTACAGTGTTGCCCCTTCTACTTCATAACCTCTGCAATTCACTCTAGCATGCTGGATATCAGCTTCTGGGCAAAATCCTGACTGATAGCGATCCATTCTTGTCTTATAGTACTCAGAGTTAATCAAAATTTGTGCTCTTGTAAAAGGTAACTCGCCTTTTAAGGATTGACTACGGGTTCTCTATAGGATTAAAATCCGGGGATTTGCTTGGCCACGAATCCAAAATTTCAATGTAATGATTGCCATGCAACTTCATTATCACTTCATTGCAGAACACGAAATCCAGGGGGAAGAGTTGGATCTTTACACTTTACCACCTTACATATAGCTAAACCTACCCATCTCCGCCCCCTGATCCCTAACTCCACCCCTAATCTTTACCCATCTCCACCCCTGATCCCAAACCCCACCCCTAATCCTACCCATCTCCACCCCTGATCCCAAACCCCACCCCTAATCCTACCCATCTCCACCCAGATCCTAACCCCACCCCTAATTCTACCCATCTCCACCCCCTGATCCTAAACCCCATCCCTTAATACTACCCATCTCAACCCCCTGATCCCAAACCCCATCCCTTAATACTACCCATCTCCACCCCTGATCCCAAATCCCACCCCTAATCCTACCCATCTCCACCCCGATCCCTAACCCCACCCCTAATCCTACCCATCTTCACCCCTGAGCCCAAACCCCACCCCTAATCCTACCCATCTCCACCCCCTGATCCCTAACCCCACCCATAATCCTACCCATCTCCACCCCCCGATCCCTAATCCTACCCATCTCCACCCCCTGATCCCAAACCCCACCCCAAATCTCCTCAAAGCTCGAGCATTTAAAGCGACAGATGACATATTTGCAGTGTTTGCTTATAATAAGCAGAATGTTATCTTGTGTTGGTGTGGATGCTCATAAAGTTTCCATTAGTTACTGTATATATATATATATATATATATATATATATTTATCATTCTTGTGCCGAACGAGTCTTTTCATTATCCAAAAGACAACTTGGGAATAATTTTGTACTGGTATGTAAACATGAACCATGTAACATATATTGCATTTTGGATGTGAAATTCACTCCAGTGCCAAGCTGAAAGTTGATTAGAAGAGCTGTGTGAAGAGTTTTGGGGGGGAAAAAGTATTGAGAAATGTGTCCCAGTGAAACGTCCCGTATTTGAAGCCATCATACCTGTGACGCTGACGGAGGCGATGGTGAGAACTGTCAGAAGGAAGGAGACATGGATGGAGCCTGGCATATTCAGTGCAAACAGGTGACCCAAGCTCACACTGACCATTGGGAGGAAGCGAGTGATTAGAGGGTACAGGCCAGAGTGGGAGCAGGCTTCAGCCCATACGGCCAGAACACACTGGACACTTCCACAAACTGCCGGCACAAACAAACGCTCGGCTAGCCTCAGTGAAAAAGGTTTCAGGTGGATCAGGCCCACACCATGCAAAGCTAGCAGTGCCATGAGATTCAGAAGCACCTGGAGGGAACAAAGCAGGAAAAAGAGGTAGTTCAATGCTTCTAAAAACAACACATCAGAGATTCAATCATGACAGGTGCCATAAATGCCAGGAGAGACATATACTGCAAACTTTCCATTATGTACCTAAAAACACTAAAGGCAATTTTAGAGGAAGTGTTCTGAACATCTGTTTTAGAGGAAGTGTTCTGTTTTTTTAATTTTTTTTATTATGATTATTAATAATACTGTTTTGGTATGTAATTTACTTAAGAGTGTCTTTGATTTACAAAATTATTGAAGGCCTGCTTTCTGTATTTTTTGTCGAAACGAAAAAAAAAATATACAAAAAAGATAATGTTACATGAAAAGCACTGTAGATATATATTTTAACCTAAAATCTCCGATTTGTCGATCGCCAACATCCCATCTGCATCCTAGATTTATAGCCAGCCATAATATGAAAACACACGAACACTAAAAGGACTCTTGTAAAGGAATTTATAGCACTAGTCCAATGATCACATATAGCACACCTAATGATTCATCCAAGAGCTGCCCAGTCTTGTGCTTTACACCCTACAGATAATCAATATACACATTCAGATGCATTCCTAACATTGATGATGATACAGGATATGTGCCCATTTCTCATGACTTTAAATAGTGATGGTCCATTTAACATAGTCCTTGTTTACTGAGCACCAGCAGCTTAGACATACTGCAAAATATCTTTGTGATTATAAATAGTTTCATTTTAAGCATTAAAATGTACTCTATTCAATTCAATCAGGTTCTTCAAAACTGTCCAGAACTTTCTGCACTAACCCCAAATGCATTGCATGACTAAAAAGCCTGCTAAATCATCTCATCATTACTTACATAAGGCATAAAATTTGCATGATCAAGATCATAAAAAAGATGTAGAACTGATAAAGATGTATGTGTGTGAGCAAAGTACCTGTATGAATGCAAGTGGCACCGCATAAGGATAGTGATACTGGGGAATGAAGATCCTGCTTACAAAACTGTGTAGATTATCTGCTAGAGCGTACACAATCACAATCACCAGGGCTGCGATGCACAGCAGGAATGGCACCAGGGGTTTACACACTTCATACACACAAGCTCTGAGAGCATGCGGCGTATGCATCTGCCACCACGCCGAACTAAAACACAAATGGACAGACAGTAAAATAAATATGGCTTAATATTATTGCCATTTTGCACCTAAAAATATCATCACATTCGAGATACTGATTAATCTCACAAGCACTGATAATAAAGATGATTTTATGGCCACTATTTGCAAGTATTCACATTTAAAAATTTGAATCTCACCATCTGGACACCAGATTTTGCCATGGGTCCATACTAGTGGTCCACCCGGTGGAGTGGAATACGGATTTAGATTTTGACCCCTTTAAAGCATAAGGGGTTGAAGGATGGATGTAAAACTACCTGTACACAAAAGACAAGTAATTAAAAATAAGTAGGCTAATAAATTAAAAGATATATATATATATACATATAAAGGTAAAAAATAATAAAGACAGACCATTATTTTAGCCAATAATCATTTAAGCAATTGAAATAACGACAAAACATAACCATATGTCATGTTTTGTCCTGTGAAATGTCATTTTGAAAACACTTTTATTCAAATTAATTTAAAATGAAAGCCATTTCATTCAAATTAATCAAAATTAAAAAAATTTTTAAAGTCAAATCAATTATTAAAATATAGGCTAATGAAAATAAATTATCTAAGCATATTAAAAATATATTATACAGAAAACATTATTGACGTTAAGATAGATAGACCAACTCACATTGCTTCATGAGACAATCCGTTGTGTATTTCCATCACGGATTGATTGAAACTTGTTTAGTTTAAGGTCACGAAACAAGCGGATGTGTACTTTGAGCTGTCACTCTGAGAGTTGAAAATACAAATAAATGTAACTTCCCTCGATGAGAGACTTTCTTTCCACCGTTAAGACCAGTGTTTCATCCTGGATTTAGATATTTCCGTTGATTGGCCCCCCTCTCGTGACTAGTTTGAGTGCATTGAGAACATAAACTGACTTCTGCGATGGACTCAAAGCAGAGGACAAGCGGAGTTAATGATTGAAACGTCACCTCGCAGCGTGAACGCGCTTCGGTAAGCTCGGTAAACATTCTCCTGTCGTCGACGCAGAGTTGTTGTTGTGTGCTACAAATTGCACAAATAATTAACCAAGCAGGTGACTAACAATTTAGGCGTGTTATGCTTTATTGCTTTGTAAAATACAAACAAAATTTTACTTTTCAAGTATAGCCTACGTTTGTTTTAATCACAACAGAATGATTAAAAACGATTTAATCATTCTGTTGTGTACTTAAGACGATTGCCTTATTTCTTCAATGGGCAGATAATGTATGGTTATAAATGTAAAACAGAATAAGGGAAAATTCGTTTGCCAAACCTATATTTAATGTCATCACCATTCCCTCAACATACTGGCTGCTTAATATTTGTAATGTCAAAGCATAATTAATTAGACTACACAATGCAATAGGCTACAAATTTAATACGACTATAGACTTCAGCAGCGTTTGCATAGGAAGGCCCTTCCTAAAGCCCCGTAAGTATGTACTTCTGAATGTCTAAGGGGAACTCAGCTGGATGTGTCACGTGACACATTTGAATATGCCTTCCTATCTCCATATTTGAGCAAGAAGTAGGCCTATATGACTAAACATGAGTGACTCACAGTCTATGGAATTAAAAAGTAGGCCTACAGATCATTTTATGTTATGCTTGTTAATATGGCTTCCAATTGGCCCCTACAATAAAATGTAGGCTAGGCATATAGACAGGGTCAACAAAACATCCATTAAGCCCAACACACTAATAACAAAATAAACATTCTGTCTGAATATGTGTGCTCATCAGGGTTTTTTGTTTTGTTTTGTGACTAGCAGCTGGATCCACAGAATAAATGTACTGAGGGTATAACACGCACATTATATCCATTACAGGTGGGTGTGAATAGAACAGACAGTCAATGTAATATCACCATGACAACCCAGTTCTTATTAATCAGGTCAAATATCAGTATGAACATACCAATATGGTGACATCATAGTACTGATAAATGCCAGTGATGGGTCAATGAACGAAAGGATATTTCCATAAGTCATTATTTACTGACTCGCATGTCATTCCAAATATTCTTAAAAATAAAATAAAATAAATAAAAAAATAAAATAAGAGCTCACAGAAAAGGTAGTACATTTGGGCTGTATGAAAGAGACTGCATTTATTTGATCAAAACACATTAAAAACTGTAATATTGTGAAATATTAAAATAATAAATATAGCCAGAACTGAGGGATGTTTTCTATTTTAATATCTAAGTGTAATTAATTGGTAACGCTGAATTTTTAGCAGCCATTACTTCACATGATCCTTTATTCTAATGTTGATTTGGTGCTACTATATCAACTATAGACCATTTCACAAGATGTAAACAACACTGGTCCAGAAACACTTCCTGTTTCAGTTTGTAACTGTTTTCTTTATTTCACATGTAAAGAAAACATCGTAAAGATGTTTGTTTAACTTTCTGATTCAGTTTTATATGTTCTGTTGGTTGTATTTTATCCCAGCTCTTATGTAGTGTTAAAAAACTGAAACAGGAAGTGCTTCTGGACCAGTGTTGTTTACATCTTGTGAAATGGTCTATATCAATTAGGCCTATATATTATTGGTGCTCAAATATTAATGATGATTCTTATTATTATCAATGCTGAAAACTGTTTCCACTGCTTAAAAGTTTTGTGGAACCAGTGATACGTACTTTGAATAATATAGAATGTATTAATTTAGAATATGTATTTATGTATACTGTGTTATTTATTTAACGTAGGATGTTACAATGCATAATGTTTTCGTTACTATATGTGGCCTCACAAATTGCCCCTTGGGGACAAATAAAGTGTTTTGAAATTGAAATTGAAATTGAAAGTTTTGTGGACCCAGTGATACATACTTTGAATAATATGTATTAATTTAGAAAAACAGCAATAAAAAAAAATTGTATATTATTCCAAACAGGAGTGTGTATCGGATAGTTTCAACAAAAATATTAAGCAACAAAAACTGTTCAACGTTGATAATAAAGGTTCTTAAAGGGATACTTCACTTTTTGTTGGAAATAGGCTCATTTTACAACTCCCTCAGAGTTAAACAGTTGAGTTTTACTGTTTTCGAATCCATTCAGCTGATTTTCTGATATTTAGAAGGATATCAGTAACCAGACAGTTTCTGGTCCCATTGACTTCTAGAATATATATTTTTTCTACTATGTTGTGTCTATATTGTGTTACAGTTTCAAAAACAAACAAAAATTCTTCAGACTATATGAAAAACGGTTGCCTCGTTTAGCCTATAGCAAGTGTTAATTTGGAAAGCAAAGTTTGCATTCAGAAATTAAAGCAAAGTCTTAACCCAGAATGTCGCATAAGGTTATTATAAATCAAAAAGGGAGGATGCAACAGAGAAAGACAGAGTGGAGAGAGGGAAGAGATAGAAACTTCCACTTCTTTTTGCACAGAAAAAAATTAATTCAGTGCATATTCATTATGGACCACAGCCATAAAATAAAAAGGGTAATAGCCTATAAAAAGTAATCGTGAGCCTTGACTGACACGTAATGGCATTGAAGAAATAATCACACCAGCTGTTATTAGCCACTGTGTCAGTATAAACTTTATTATATGTATCAAATCAAGAAGTAACATGAAAAATATGCCAGAATTCCAATGAAGAAGAAAGTAATATGAGATATAATAGGAATTGCATTGTGCGCATGCGCAGTTCTAAATTCCACCTGGTTCCATGAGTTTTGGGAGAGTGTGAGACTCTGCACGTAGCAGCTCAGCGGAATCCTCTCCGCCACATGTCGAGGAGATAAAGCCCAGCTCACCAGAAGCATCGTAAACACAGAAGAGTCCTCCATCCACACTGAGCACCTCATCAGCACCACTGGAGCAACTTCTGGATCGATATCGATTCACTGTTTCTCTGCGCGTGTGATAGCCTGAAAGGTACGAAGTTATTTGCTTTCCAAGTTTGAGCGGTTTTATTTTGGGTTTTTTAAACAAATGATTTGTTGTTGCAAATACTTTTTAAATCGACAAAGTAATTGTAATATGATGCATTATACCTACATGAAAAACTTTGATATTTAAAACTCCTGATGCGTAAGATATTTTAACTAAAATATCGGGCAGGAATTTCTTCTGGCTGAGAAAAAGTGTCGTCCGGACGTGCACGAGGTTATCTTACACTCAATCTTCAATGCACGATAATATAGTCACAATAATAAACTAATAATCTACATGTGCATTGATGGAATAGGCATGAGATATTGAGATTCAAATTAGGAATCTAATTTGAGATATGATAAAGTCTCCGTAGATGTAAGTATTTGTTTTCGCTATTTCGAGGAAAATGTTTTTTTTTTTTTTTAATTCTAAAGCGGAAATCGATATGGACAAGTCAAAAGCACGTTTCATATGTTGCTGCACTGTAATAACGTTGTGAAAATGTTACAGTGTTGCTCTGCGTCAAGCACGCGTAACGTAGCAACGTGCGTCTCGTTGACTGGCACACAAAGCTGCAGCATTCCATGTGTTTTAAAGTCCCGCCCGCCCTATTGCGCAGATTTTTTTTGTTTTACAATTTTTTTTTTTTGGCATCTGTTATCTGTGAACTTTTTGGAGAGTTTGCAGTCGGCTTACTCATCTCGTGCTCTCGAGGGGGCGGGGCGAAGACGTGGCAGTGCAGTCTGCACCGAATGAACTGTTTGGCTTCCATGCTGGACCCTCACGAGCTCACGAACACCACTCAATGGGCTTTCCTCCTGTAGCTAATTATGCAGTACCTTTGGAACTTTTCACAATCTAAGAAATTTACTCTAAGTAATAATTTCTTTTCCCACATATGAGACAATAATGGGGGGAAAAACATGACATGGTGTCTAAAAAAGGATGGTGTATACATACCAAAACCTATAGTCATTGCTAATTTAAGGACTTAATATTTACCTTGAATGAGAGTGTCTACTCATTTTGAAAAGATTATAACTATTATGATTATGACAAATACTTAAATTAATTGCGAATACTTATTATGTTAAAGTACATGATGTCATTAACATTTATTGCCAAGAAGAAGCCTTCAGTTCACACAGAAGTTCCTGCAGAGCACATGTGCAAACAGCATTGCCAGGTCCCGCTAGTTTGGTGCCTTGAGGGTCTTTTTTGTTGCATATCTCATGTGTCAGATGTAAATTTTCAACATATTAAACTCAGATTTACAATTTAAATTTAGTACCGCTTTCCATGTTACGTAATGTCCAATTTGGATGAATTTTGAGTGTTTAAGCTTTAGAATTATACTTTTTTATTTATTAATGTTGATTGAAATATGTGATAGATAATGTGTGCTACACTTGTGTGTATTGGACATTTGTCCAATGAGACTTTCTCTTTGCTCTAAGCCAAGGCTTACCCCTGGTTGCCATTTTTGTCCTTTTCAACAAACAAACGTGACATCTTGTTTATACACGCTGGCACTGGCTTAAACACACAAAAGGGATATTCCCATAGGCCCAGCGGGATGCTCTTTGTTTGCTCTCTGGACACCACATTTGTGCCAAAATTCTGACCCAGCAGTGACCAAATTCAGCCAACTGTATTCCATGTATCCAAATGGGAGGGCACTGGGGGTTATGGCAACCAAAGCCTAACTTTCCAATGTATTTGTTAGCAGCCTGTGTATGTTAATGGCTCCAGTAATCCATTTCCCTTGCCCTAAAGGCTGTAGTATCTGTTTGTGTGAACACCTCAAAAGACAGAAATAATAAATTCTTTCAATATTGTCAGGAAGATGTTGTGCAATGCATTGTTAGATGTATCACATATGACACTGTCTGTTTCTCTCAGGATGGCATTGTCTTGGTTCCTGTTGAGTTTCCTCTTCCATTCTATGTACGCCCACAATGATTTCTTCACTTCTATAGGTAAGATGATTTTCCATTGTGTTGTTCTGCTTTGTATCCATTTTTAATTAAGCTATACATTGTGCCAAACATATTAAACATGCAGGAAGTGGCTGTAACTAAGAAGTGAAGGTTTATCTATCCATCTATCTATCTATCCATCCATCCATCCATGGATGCATAGTACTTTTACCCAACTGAACTGGACTCCGTTAATGCTTTGTAGCCTTTAGGAGAAACCATTTCAAAAATTCCTTTTGACCAAGCGATCCAACCCATGAACATTATTTTTAGTTTGATGCTGTTATCTATACATGGCAATTTCAGTAAGTTCAGTAAGTATCTGAAATATTTCAGTAAGTATCTGAAATATTTCAGTAAGTATCTGAAATATTGTGCTAGCACCCGAAAGGGTGTTATAACAAATATGCCATTAAAGGTTTGTGTAATATTTAGTCTTCTGTTTCAGATCTGACGTGTGACTTTTTGATTTGTAGGCCAGATGACAGACCTACTGTACACAGAGAAGGACCTGGTAAAATCACTAAAAGAATACATTAGACAAGAGGAAAACAGACTAGAGCAGGTCAAAGAGTGAGTAAACACACACACACACTCACGTTGTGTTATGTGGGGACTATCCATAGACATAATGATTTCTATTCTGTACAAACTGGATATTCTATCACTTTAGACTAACCCTACCCCTAAACCTACCCATCACAGAAAGCAGTCTGCATTTTTACATTTTCAAAAAACATCACTTAGTCAGATTTATAAACTGTTTTCCTCATGCGGACCAAAACATTTCCCTTCAAAGACAAAAAATTTGGATATTGCCATCTTTGTGGGGATGGAGACACACACACACACACAGTAATTTTTTGGTAGTCATTTGACAGCTCATTGATAGCTGGTGAATATTTTGTTTCTTTACCTGCATCAGGTGGGCTGACAAACTGGACTCACTGACGAACACAGCCACACAGGACCCAGAGGGATTCCTGGGGCATCCTGTCAATGCATTCAAACTGATGAAAAGACTCAACAGTGAGTGGGCCAACCTGGAGAGCCTGGTGCTGAAAGACACCACCAATGGTTAGTGACCGTCAAAGTCTGACATAGTAGTTAGGGATGGGCAGAATGACATTATTTAAAGATATATTTATATAGCTACTGTTTTTTACTATCTCGAGTGTCTGAATTTCTGAATTTGCAAAGAATGATTTGTATTTACCAATCAAGTCCTACTTTCTGCATGGTTCGGAAACAAATAAAACACATTTTCAAGTAGAATTTTTAGCATAAATAACAGTATTGTATGACATAAACTAACACTACCATTTAAAAGTTTGGTGTTGGTATGATTTTTTAGTCTTACATTCACCTGGGATGCATTTATTTGATTAAAAAATACAGTAAATAACTGCAATATTGTGTAATTTAATTTAAAATTGTGAAAATGTATTTAAAATAGTGGTAAATAAAACAATTAAAAATAATAGTTTTCTATTTTAATACGCTTTAAAAAATTATTTATTCCTGTGATGGTAAAGCTGAATTTTCAGCATTGTTACTCCAGTGTTCAGTCAGTGTCACATGATCCTTCAGAAATGCTACTGATAATAATAATTTCTGAAAAAACAAACAAACAAACAAAAAAAAAAACATTTCTCATTATTATCAATGTTGAAAACAGTTGTGCTGCTTCATGTTTTTGTGATAACCGTGATCATTTTTTGCATGCATACTTAAATAGAAATAGAAAGTTCAAAAGAGCAGCATTTATTTCAAATAGAAATCTTTCATAACATAAAATGTCTTTCCTGTCACTTTTGCTCAATTTATTACATTCTTGTTGAATTAAAATGTTAATTACTGTAAAAAATGATTTATGTCATACATTAGTAATAGCATTATTTGCATAAATGTCTCTGTGTTATACACTTCTTAAGCTGTTGTATTCCTCAAAATCAAGCCTCTCCTATCTGTTCTCTTTTGTAGGGTTCATCTCTAATCTGACTGTCCAGAGGCAGTTTTTCCCTACAGATGAGGACCAGACAGGAGCAGCCAAAGCTTTGCTTAGATTACAGGACACATACCAGCTGTCTGCCAACACCATCTCAAATGGAGACCTGCCTGGTGAGCGACTGTACATGTCTATGTGTTTATGCATTCCAGACCACTTGAAAATATTTATCAAGCACATTGCGTTACCACGGACTGCATGAACTCTTTGAGAAGCATCATGTTGTGTCTGTAAAAAGTTGTTTTTATATTCCTTTGGAAATTCTTTCAAATGTTCCCATGAGATAGAGTGATAATGTCTGTGCCATTTTAAAGAAATAACACCGCTGACTAGTTGATCACACCTGGAGGCGATGTGTGTTTCAAATGTCTCCTGTGACTACTTAACCGCAGATTATCATTTAGAAAGTGAACCCTTGTTGTAGTCGAATGGTTGATTGACAGGTGAGGAGGCTGTCCTTTGGATAAGCAACAACAACATCGAAATCATATTAGTATCATGATAGTTAGAACAACACCACTGAAGATATGACATCCGATTAAGAGACCATTTGTTTTTGTGTGTCCCTTTACTGGTGTGACCTCAGGTGTTGTGCACAAGAGCCGGATGACGGTGGCAGACTGCTATGAGCTGGGGAAGATTGCATACTCTGAGGGAGATTACTATCACACAGAGCTCTGGATGGCTCAGGCCCTCACACAGCTAGATGAAGGCGAGGAATCCACCATAGACAAGGTCACAGTTTTGGACTACCTCAGCTATGCCATCTACAAGCAGGGTGAACTAGAGCGAGCCCTCGAGCTCACCAAGAGGATGCTGAAGCTGGGTAAAGATAATCTCAAACTAATCATTTAATAACATGGTTAAATGCTGTGTTATTTTAGTGTTGTTTATATATTTCATAGTATTTATTATGATTTTGAATTAGCTTTTATTTTTTTTTTATCATTTTTAAGGGATAGTTCAACCTAAAATGAAAGTTAAGTCAAAATGTACTCACCCTGGTGTTGTTCTATTGCCGTATTCTCTTAATTGCCATACGCACAAGTATCACAGAATGATCCCATCAGACCCGTGCCATATATCCCAAGTGTTCCGTGGGTATACGATAAAGTTTAATGAAAAGAAATCTTGATTTCTTTCTTGATTTCTTCTGAGTGGGAAAGAGTGAACTATGGTGCTAATGGAGTCTCATGAATGCACACGTTATGTAGCCATGCAGAGAAGGCCAAGGTCAAGAATTGAATTAAATAATAGATTAAATTTCGGTTTGTTTTTTCACCACCAAACCCTATGGTATACCCACAGTACACTTGTAATGTACGGGGCATGTCACTGCAATGGATGATTGAATGGAATAACTTGTATGGCTTTGTAAGGAAGGACCATGGTGGAGACAATGAACTTACAAAAAAATGATTACTGATGACACTAAACTATGATATTTTTCAAAACTTAAAATTGCCTTTGTGTGTGAATCTCAGACCCAGATCACCACAGGGCCAATGGGAACCTAAAGTACTTCGAGTTCCAGCTGGAGAAGCAGAGAAAGACACAGGCTGAGAATAAGGAAGTGGAAGATAAAAAAAGAGAGAAGAAAGTTCTGGACAAACGTGACACTGAGAGGAAACGGTCCAAAGACCCTCTGCCAGAGAGAAAGAAATATGAGATGTTGTGCAGAGGAGAGGGAATAAAACTGGTGAGCAGAAAGATTGTCCCCCCTACTTTTTAAATGTTTTAATTTTTTTCTCAAATTCTTTCTTTTGCTTCCTTTACTAGACCCCACGCAGACAAAGCCGCCTGTTTTGCCGTTACTACGATAACAACCATAATCCACTGTTGCTTTTGGCTCCAGTGAAGCAAGAAGATGAGTGGGATCGCCCTCGTATTGTCCGTTTTCATGACATCATCTCTGACAGTGAGATCGAGACAGTGAAGGAGATGGCAAAACCCAGAGTGAGTTGGACTTACTAAAGTTATGCTGTGGTTTGCAGTGTGAACTTGTGATTTGGTTATTCTTTTAATAGTTTATGTATTTATTTTTTTATTTTTTTATTATACATTTTAAATAATAATTATCATTATATATATATATATATATATATATATATATATATATATATATATATATATACAGTATATACTGTATATAAATATTTTTTTTATAAATCTTCTAGACAGTGACTTGCAAATGTGGACCTTTACCGTGTACAACTTTTTTTTTTTTTTGCTGATATTCGCTGTCATTAAATTTTGGTAGATAGCTTATGTGACTGTTGAATAATCATTTTGTTATGAATAGTTTTCAAATGCTAACGGAAATCAAGAATATAGAAGTCTGTTAAGTTTAAGTAGTTTTTGAGTTTGAGTAATTTAGACTATATAAATGTAGTATTTATGAGTGAGGGGTTGAAAGTGCTTTAAGAGAGCCTGTGTGTAATCCATATGTGGCTCCTCAGCTCCGTAGGGCTACTATATCCAATCCAATCACGGGCGTGCTCGAGACCGCCCCCTACAGGATCAGTAAGAGGTAAGGCTATAAGTGTGGGAATCTAGAACACCGCCAAAAAGACGAACCGTTATGCCTTAACCGGTCCATAGAATCTGAGAACTCCTTAGCAGAAACAATGCAAAACACTGCAAATCATAAATCACATTTGTTAAATTAATTGCTATAAAAAATTGTAATATACACTGAATACAATTATAAATGCAACACTTTTGTTTTTGCCCCCATTTTTCACGAGCTGAACTCAAAGATCTAAGACTTTTTCTATGTACACAAAAGGCCTATTTGTGAGATTTGTGAACTATATATGAGAGAAATAGGCTTTTTACATAGAAAAAGTCGTAGATCTTTGAGTTCAGCTAATGAAAAATTGGGGGAAAAAACAAAAATATTGCATTTATAATTTTGCTCAGTGTATATTTTAAATAACTAAAACAGAGAATAACTAAAACTCACCAGCCACTTTATTAGGCACACCTGTTCAACTGCTCACTAACTCAAACAGGGGTGGTGATGGCGCAGTGGAAAAGACACATGCATTTGGTGTGAGAACCGGGTTCGAATCCACTGTGAGACACCAATAGTTGCTCCAGAGGCGTGCGACCTCTGACATACAGTATATAACAATTGTAAGTCGCTTTGGATAAAAGCGTCAGCTAAATGAATAAATGTAAACATGTAATTAGCCAATCACATAGCAGCAACTCAATACATTTAGGCATGTAGACATAGTCAAGACAATATGCTGAAGAAGAAAAGAAAGGTGATTTAAGTGACTTTGAACGTGCCATGATTGTTGGTGCCAGACATGCTGGTCTGAGTATTTCAGAAACTACGATATCCAGAGAACATTAGTTCTGAGGGGCGAAAATGCCTTGTTAATGCCTGAGGTCAGATGAGAATGGCGACACTGGTTCAAGCTGATAGTAAAAGGCAACAGTAACTATACTTGTTACCACTTGTATACAATAACCACTTGTTATTATAATATACCACTTGTTACAACCAAGGTTTGTAGAAGAGCATCTCTGAACACACATGTCTAACCTTGAAGCAGATGGGTTACAGCAGCAGAAGCCTGTCTTGGCACACTTTTAGACCCTTAGTACTAATTGAGGATTGTTTAAATGACACGCCGGTATTGTTGCCGGCCATGTCCATTGCTTTATGACCACAGTGGGCCCGTCTTCTGATGGCTACTTCCAGTAGGATAATGGCGATGCCACAGATCAAATCATCTCAAACTGGTTTGAACATGACAATGTGTTCACTACCAAATGGCCTCTACAGTCACAAGATCACAACCCAATAGAGCACCTTTGGGACTGCTTGATGCTATCATGTCAGTATGGACCAAAATATCTAATTTTTTCAGCACTTTGTTGAATCTATACCACAAAGAATTAAGGCAGTTCTGAAGGCAAAAGGGTCCTAATCTGTACTTGCGAGTTGAACCTAATAAAGTGGCTGGTGAGTGTATATATATGAAAAAAAAACAACATTATTTTAGAGCATACTGAAATCTAGAATTTAAACTATTTGACTGCATGTTCACAGGCCCTAACTGTGACTTGTAACTTTGTAAACACATATTCTAGATATTAGTTTCATGCTGAGGAGTTTTCCGTCTTGCCGTCTTTTGTCATTGTGGTGGATAAAAAGGTAAAAAGACAGAGTAAGCAATGCTCTACTTTGTTACTTTATCTTGCTGTAGCTCTCATGTGCTCAGAACAGGGACAGAGTGATTCAAAATTGTAATTTGAAAGTTTAGGATTTTGTAATTCAAGGATTTATGTTAACAACATTGACTTGAGTAGTTGAAATTATAAAAGAAAATTTGCATCACTGCTGCTGGTGTACAGTTCTGTCCCTGTTCTTTACATGGCTTCAGTTCAGAAAATGACACTAAATTGACTTCTCTTTCTCTCTCTCCCCCCTTTTTTCCCTCTCTTTTATCTGCTCTTATTCTGTCCATGTCCTTTTGTGTGTTCTTGCTCCTCTTTAAACTTTTCCTCTCTCTTTCTCCTCTTTGATTGTGTAATGGTGAATAGCTAAAGCGAGCCACTGTGCACGATCCCATTACGGGAAAACTCACCACTGCCCAGTACAGAGTCTCCAAGAGGTAAGGGATCAAAAGTCAAAGGTCAAAACATCCTATCCAAATGGAGATTCATAATTTGTGCCAAAATTCAAAAATCCAACCTTCACTTGGCTATTTAAGTTTTGGTGACCCACTTTCACAGGCAGCAAATATTAGAGTCTTCCTTCTACTACAGTCCTCTTAATATTAAGACAATCTTAAATGTTTGAGAATCGATAAATGAACAATTTTGCACACATACAGCATTGCGCCTAAGTCTAGGACTCTGCAGGAGCAGCTGTTTGAGTCTGTGAACTAAAATATTTTTTTTAATAGCGCTATACATAGATCTACTGTCTCCCTCATATTTCCACCCACACCAAAGTGGTTTAACTTCTCCTAGTTATTATGAGTGTGTATGTTTGAGAACTCACGTCCCAGCACAGGAAGACTGGGTGGAGTTGCTGGAACACTTGAGGGCTCCTTTCACACCAAAAGCTATAAATGTGTCAGTTTGTGAGATTAAGACTTCAAACATTATGTTAAGAAGATAAATATATTGAAAAAAAAATGGTATACACTACCATTCAGAAGTTTGGGTCAGTAACATTTAAAAAAAATGTTGTATACTTTTATTCTGCATAAACTTTAAATTGATCAAAAGTGACCGTAAAGACATATTTCAAATTTCTATTTCAAATGCGGTAATTTTGAACATTCATTCATCTGTGATATTCATTAAAGAATCATGAAAAAACTATTGTGGTTTCTGCATAAATATTGAGCAGCACTACAGATTTTAAAATTGTTTCTGAAACTAATCAGCTTATTAGAGATCAAGACTGAAGAAATGTCTGCTTAAAATTCAGAGTTGCCATCACAGGAATAAATACAATTTTAAAAGATATGAAAATAGAAAATATTTATTTTAAAATTGTTATATTTTACAATAGTATTGTTTTTTAGTACTGTATTTTCTTTATCAAAATAACTAAGCATGAGACTTTGTTCAAAACCATTCATATTATCTTACTGAACCCTAACTTTTGAACAGTACTGTATTCATTTTTTTTTTAAATGAATGATTTGCAGAAACTGAGAGGCCCCCCCCCCTCTCTCTCTCTCTCTCTCTCACTCACTCACACACACACACACACACACACACACACTCCCTCACTCACTCAGAATCCTGAATGAGATCAGTGTTCCTGAATTCCTTTACTCTTATATTCTGAGTGAGGAATGTGAACTAATTTTTCTGATTGCTGCCCCCTCTTTCTTTTTAATTTCTCTTTCCACCATTCATCGCTTCACCTGTTGGTTTGTCTTTATCACAATCAGACTTTTTCACATCTATAACTAAATAAAATAATTTCAACTTCAGAAATCTTTTCACTGAAAACAGGATGTGAAAACGTCTGAAAATCATGTGCATGGTGTGGCATGAGGTTTGTTTATCATGTAATGGAATATTAGTTGCTTTTGTATATAGTTGTTTCACTTTTCTTCAGTTTCTAGTCTTTTTCTCCCCTCATTCTAGTGCTTGGCTGTCTGGATACGAACATTCTACAATTGAAAAGATTAACCAGCGTATCGAGGATATAACAGGCCTGGAAATGGACACAGCAGAAGAGCTGCAGGTAAGAGGAACTTTTACACAATCAGCCAATCAGATGCTTTTAACAAGAATCCACCTTGTGTAATATCGCACTGGTAAAAAGGTTGTCATAAGCAATGTTTTTCATCTCAGGTTGCAAATTATGGAGTTGGTGGTCAGTACGAACCTCATTTTGACTTTGGAAGGGTGAGTTCCTGTGTCTTTCTTTCACCGGTAAAAAGTCTCACATATCAGCAAATCAGTTTAGGATTATAAAATTGTTTATTTACAGTACCATTAAAAAGTTTGGCATACGATTTTAAATGGTTAAAAGCATGTTTTTTTCAGCATGTCTTAATTAAATTGATCAATAGTGTCAGTAAAGATATTTATAACTTTACAAAAGTTTTATATTTCAAATAAATGCTGTTCTTTTGAACTTTCTATTCATCAAAAACCCCGAGAAAAAACATGCATCACAGTTTCTACAAAAATAATATTATTTGATAATATTAAGAAATGTTTCTTGAGCTCCAAATCAGCATATTAGAATGATTTCTGAAGGATCATGTGACACTTAAGACTGGAGTAATGTTGCTCAAAATTTGGCAAAAATACATTCGATTTTAAACTATATTGAAATAGAAAAGTTATTGTAAATTGCAATTATATTCACAATATTACTATTTTTACCTTTATTTTCAATAAAAATTAATACAGTCTTGGTGAGCATCTTTTTTCAAAAACATTAAACCAATCTTACAGACCACAGACTTTTGAACAGTGGGGTAAGCTCGTGTCTTGTGTTTTTTATTTATTTATTTCTTTTATTTACACGGTTTCTTATAAACAGAAAGATGAACCAGATGCCTTTAAAGAACTTGGAACAGGAAACAGAATTGCAACTTGGCTCTTTTATGTGAGTAAACTGACTTTGACATGCAGACACACACATATATTAATGTCAATCATAACTATCAACATTTTATGGTCTTTAACATGATTTATCACATATCTGATTAGGTTGTTTGCTTGTAAATATGCTTGCTAAAATGCTTGCAATAAATTGTAAAGTAATGTAACATTATAGCAGTTGCGGATGCAAAAAGTCACACTCTAAAAAGTGTGGGTGGGCTGGAATAATTCGCATCACTCCTTATTTATCAACTTGGGATAATAGATATGTATTATCATGACATAATATTACTTGTTGTAGATGAGTGACGTGTCAGCAGGGGGCGCTACAGTCTTCCCTGATGTGGGCGCTGCAGTGTGGCCTAAAAAGGTGAAACACCACTACAAATAAATAATTTTCTTCATGTGTAAACTAGTTCATTCATTTTATTAGTTACTCTCTCTTACCTTTCAGGGTACAGCAGTATTCTGGTATAACCTTTTTGCCAGTGGAGAAGGAGATTACAGCACAAGACATGCTGCCTGTCCAGTATTAGTGGGAAACAAATGGGGTGTGTGTGTGTATATATATAAATATAATATGTATGAGTGTTTGTATTCTCAGTTGTTTTATTTGTTTCTACTCTCTTTTCCTCCAGTATCAAACAAATGGATACATGAACGAGGTCAAGAATTCAGACGACCCTGTGCAGTGTCTGAGATGGAATGATCACTTTTTTTTCTTTTCTTATTTCCTGTTCAGTGTAAGTTTTAGTCAGTATGATGTGTGTTTGTACAAGGAGTGAATGACGATGCATCAATCTATCCATTTCTTCTATTGTTACCTTTTACTCAAATAATAGACCCAGAAATGCTGTGAGGTTTCTGAGCAGGATATTCCCTGACTGTTACAAACTATGAATATGCATAGATCCAATCAAATATTTTATTTTAGTTATTTATTTAGGGTTAAATTTGAACTCCATATGTTTATTTTGCTCGTCCTGTCATGTCTTAAACTCCAACAGACCTCTATTTTTTTTTTTAGTTTTTAATTTAAACGACTGAACACTCCATAAACCTTAATATAATTAAATGTTAAAGAAAACACGGCACAGTGCAAGCCCAACTTTTTAGACCAAGAAAAGGAAAATAATCTGTTACAAAATTGTTTTTATAAACCCCTGAAACATTTACCAAATAGTTTTTTTTTATTCCTTGGGCCATTGCAAACAATGTCTGTTTTTTTTGTTTTTTTATGTGCGTATGGAAATATTTTTAAGTGTGATCGTTTTTTTTACAGACATAAAATCTATGACATCATTTTCAGTTGTCTTTTTTTTTTCTTTCGTTTTATAAAATTGTGAGATGTGTCAGAAATGTATGTGTCACAACTTTTAAACTTATGCATTCTGGATAATTTAAAATTCTATTGGCTGGTGACTTTTGAGGTCATTCAGATGTTGATTGATAAGCATTCATCAACTCATACATCAGTTGTGGCTTGACATGCGAAAACCAATGAGGTTCTGTTGAGCTTCTGTTTATATTCACTGATCAATGATTATATACAAGAATAAAAGCCTAAATTCAATCTGTTAATCATCTAAAGCTCAATTCATATGGATTATTTTAAGATCTCTTTATGAACTTTTTGAAAAGTCAACGTTTCAGTTGCAATTTCATCAAAAGGATCTACAATTGTGTTCCGAAGATTAACGAAGGTCTTACGGGTATAGAACGACATGAGTGTGTGTAATCAATGACAGAATTTTCATTTTCATTTTTGGGTGAACTAACCCTTTGAGAAGCATACCAAAAATGTCTAATTGAACTATTCATCTTCTGTTATTTATATTACCACTATAACAATTTGAGTGAAAAGTTGAATTAAAAAAATTTAACATGAATTGATGCACAGTCCTTTCAGTGTATGTTGCCTGCTATCTTCTGAGTTCAATTGTGTGGATTATTTATTACAAGACTTTTGAATCTAATCATCTTTTGTTCTAATCAAACGGTTTGTGACAACTATACCATTAAAGGTTAAAATGAACTGCTTTGTATACAATTAATATACAATTTATATAATGATCTTAGAATTTGCAAGGCTTGTCACCTATTTGCTTTCGCGACAGCAACACTTGAGCAGTATGTTTGTTTAAAACCTGATGATCGTTCTCCAGCAAATTATTGTTCGAATTGCATCTTGTGGAGATTTTGTTTTTAATTTGTACCCTCCAGCATTCTTCAGTTTATTTGGGTTGTTTGTGCATAGCACCACTTAATTGGCTTTTTTCCTCCTCCCTAATTCACAAGTTCACATCTGCATATAATTATTATGGTAAAGGTTATGCGCACTTGGCGTGCTGTCCGGGTGGAGGACAGGGGCTCCGAGCTCAGAATTTCTGCCGAACCCAAAGTACTAAGTAGATGGAACTAAAAGTGAGGAGATGGGGTGGAGGTGGGATGCTGATAAACTGTCAAGGAACAAAGGTGGGTTCTGCTGTTATTTATCTTGTCCTGAGTTGATTACTGATTGATCTCCACTCCACTCGAAGCCGTCACCACAGAAGCTGTCTCTCCACCCTTTGTAGGACCGCATAGGAAGAAGCGCCATTATCAAAAGCCACCGGAGCCTGCGGCCGATGCGAAGTGCTCGCCGGTATCCCTCCCTCGAGCCTAGCCCTCGCCTTCTCTGCCCGTGTCCTTCATCGCCGCTGTCAAGCACCCTCAGCTAGGCCTGCGCCCTTCCTCCCAGAGCTGCTCTCAGAGCTTACTAAAGTGTCTCTGCGTCACTCGAGAAGGGATACAGCTCTATCCCCGAGAAAGCACTTGCTGTACACCTTTGTCCACCCTCCGCGAGATGCTGCTCAAAGTCTGCCCTACCGTCTAAAGCCTGCAAGACCACGTCTGCTCTTATCGGTCGCACCTACGTCGCCACTGGATAAGCAGTTTCCACCTTGCACTCGATAGCTGTTCTGCAGATCCTACAAGCCAATCTCCTTCGTGAATGGGATGAGAAAGGCCCGGACCCAGCTGCCATTGCGGACCTGAGAAGCGCAACGGATCTCTCCCTTCGTGCTACCAAGTCTGCAGCTCAGGCCGATGCATGGCCTCGCTGATGGTTACAGAGAGGCACCTCTGGTTGATGCTGGCTGACATGAGAGAGTCTGAGCTATCTGTCTTTCTCAACGCACCACTCTCCCACACTGGTCTCTTTGGCCCAGCGGTGAGCGGGATCGTCGACTGCTTTTCTGAGGTACACAAAACCATGCAGGCCATGAACTTGTTCCTGTCTCGTTGCGCTAGCTCCGCTGCAGGCTGCCCACGTGACCAGCCGCCTGCACGAGCCACTACAGAGTGCCCAGCTCAGCCCAGATAGTCCATCCAGACTTCTCAGCGGCGGGGCAGCCGACCCAGATCGCGCTCGGCCAACCACCACAGAACCCCCCACGCGGTCCGACCACCGTCAAAGTGTTTCTCCCTGTCAGTCCCCTTAACACAGGCTACTGCAGTGGTTCATTCAGCAGCCAACGAGCCTGTAACACAACCCGCTCGCCAGCATGCAATTATGCGATTTCGGACGCTGAAATGTGTAAGAGTTGGCAGCCCTGTATCAGTCATTGGAGCTAGTTCCTATCAGTGGACTGTCTGCTTAAAATCATATCGTTGAAGCTACATGTCAACTTATTTTACAAACCCGAACCCTAACTCCTACTCATCTAATATGACTTCTCTAATGAGAGTTACTTGTTGCAAAGTTTCTTATAGAATGAATAGAATGTAAAGTGGACCATTGAGATAAAGGCAAGGGTAGGAGACCAGGGATGGTTGTAACATTTTTGACCTTTCTGTCTATATCTTGGAGTACTTTTAAGCCAGTGTGTTCAAACTGTGATTCAAACAAGTGTCTGCTATCAAATGACATAACTTTTATCTGTACAACACAAGCAGAAAATTCATGGTTTAGTTCCAAACACGAGGAGTGAAATGTTACAATCCACCCCATATTCTGGGTTAACATGTGAGATATATCCACTGGGTGAGATGTAATGTAACAAAAGAAATAAGGGTTTTGAAAGGTTTTTATTCAACACTGACTTTTCAATAAAACTGATATGTGTGTCTGTGTGTGTCTTAGTAGTTATTGACACTGGACCTAGCCAATTCGATCTGTGAATAGGCCCGTAGTGTATACTGTTATGAGTTTAGGTAGCTTTACATTTGTTTAACGAAATGGAAAAGGTTGTTTGCACGTTAAAATAACGTTTGTGAAGGTTGAGTTTACTGCGGGTGGAGGGACAACGGGTCATGTGACCTATCAGTACTAATTGACAGTCTCTCCTCTGTCCTCTCACTGCTGTCACTGTTCGAGCACTGCGGCCGCGAGACTGGAAACCAACACGAACGAAAGAGAGAGAGAAAGAGAGACACCCGAGATACTGAGAAGAGTCACACCAAAAACTTACGATAAGAAGCCGAATATCACAAGTTACCCATCAAATAAGAGAACGGTTAAATCATGAATCAGATGGAGCTTTCAGTGCCATATGATAATGGATATGAACCGGAGGACTACATGTTGCAGGAGGATGAATGGGACCGGGATTTACTGCTGGACCCAGCATGGGAAAAACAGCAACGAAAGGTAAGAGAAAGTTTGGTCCCAAAACACCGCTGACAGAATAAAAGCATTAGATGCACTTTTCTATTAGCCTATTAAAGCTTTCAAACATCAACACTTTTAATAATCAAACATAAATAATTGAATTAATATATTTGATCTATTTATTTTTTATCATTTAAAACGGCAAGTGAACAGTTGTCTGCAAAGGAATGCCGTCTCGCTATGGGCTCTGTGGTCTGTTAGAGTCATGGAGGGCTCTGCTCGTCAGGACGGATGCAGCGGGTAGCCTAACAATAGCGGCCCTAGTGTCTGTTGCTGATAGCCTACTATTGGAATGCGGACTGTCAACAGATGCTTCCAACACGGGATGACGTCCTTGGGATTAGAATGGATGCAGGGGCTAATTTTAACTCCACCACCAAAAGCCAGTATAGTAGCCTAATCCGCGGTGTCCTTGGAAGGGAATTCTTCTATAAACAGCACATTTTCTATAAAGTTTATAAAAGTGTTTTTCATATAGCCTAGCTTATATTCTAAATTGACATGAACAGATAGGCTTCTTTTTGACAGGTAGGCAGATTTCATATAATTATTTTAGATTTGGCCTTATGAGATTATTTTGACAGTATTGATGGTCAGGGTTATTCCTTATGTGGATTTTAGATTTTTTTTTTAGGGTCTCTTTGTCTTAAACCCCCTGCTTTATCTGACCAATCCACAGTTTTAATCCTTTTATAGACTAGATCCACATGTGGACTTGCCACATGACCTATTCATTCATTCTCTTGATGTAAAGAAAAAAAAATATTTTGATTGTCATGGCTGAACACTTTCTGAATACATTTAGTCAGTTTATAAGTGTTTAATCTGTAATGTTTTTATTCTGAAGTTCCAAACATGTCTGGTGATTGAAAAATGAGACACCCAGATAGCTATTTACGTGTGGCAAAAGTGTAGTTTTAGTGTCTCAGTGGTCTTTTTTTTTTATATTCACACTATGTAGCCCATTCAGTTAATAAGTAGGAAGGAAGGAAGTCTCAATTTACACTTAAATCCCCAGTTTAACTTGGCTGGTTTAATAAAATGTGCTGTCCAGACATAGTTGGATGATGATAATACAATTAATTTAGGCCCAAAATTGAAACTCGTTCACTTAGCAGATCCTTTCTTGTCAAGTCAAATTAGAAATTTATTAATTCTGAAGCTTAAATATGGAGACTGACTAATCACTCTTTGTTATTCTTCCAGAGGCATGTTACTGTGGACACACCCTACAGTTTTACAGAATGAGTGAAATTCTTTCCTCTCCGATTAGATGAAGCAGAAATGCGATAAAAAAATGTTATATGCAATGCATTCTCACTTGTATCTCTCATCTCAGTGTGAGCTACTTCATCAGGTCCCTTATCATAAATGGACTGTGTAGAGAGCTAAATTTACACTATTGCCTCGCAGGAATGCACTCTGGAGTCCAGTAAAGCTTTCATTGGCCCGGCAATGACTGTGGCAGGACCGAGCATGCTTTCAGGGATTAAAAATATGCCTTTAGATTCCATAGGGTAGCAATTGATTTGGTTCTGGGCAGCAGTTCAGCCACATTTTGATCTATAAAAAAATCTTTCCATTAAAATGTTGCATATTATACCATTGCGTGTCACAACATTTGTCATTTAGATTTGCATATTCCCATAATTCGAATACAGCATGCAATATCAAAAATCAACTTTTTGTTAATTTGAAATGACAAAAAGTTTATTTATATTGCATCCCTATGACAGTGCAAAATTATTATTATAGATACATATTTATATATTTGTCAAGCATCACAGCTCATTGTGTATAACATTAGATTAACCAGACTCCATCTCTTTATGAAACTACACCTGTCACAAATATTCAAAGACCCATTTTAAAAGTGTTCCACAGATGAGTGTTCA